GTGCATCAGTTTCGGATAAAGGAGTGAGTCCTGAATTCTCATATTCACGCAATAGCATGGCGACTGCATTCTACACATACTGCACACGTATCTGCTATTTGCTAATAGAAGCGAAGTGGCGAGTTCCAGGAAGAAGTCGTAAAGAGGGAGACAGGATCGCTGGAACAGGAGTTTTATTAGCCCGACGTTTCTGATTCCCACTCGAATCCATCACGAGAGACAGAGTCAGGTAAGGGTAGTGGGTTGCCCAGGTGTTGTAAAATCTATAGGATGCAGTTGCTAGGCCGCTACATGCCTATCACAGTTGTCAGCTCCCGAGCGCATCACAGCTGGACTGGCCAGGTGTTGAAATATGCAGGTGCCATGCCGTTACTACGCGTCAAGATTATCGGCCCCCCACGCTTATCGCACGCTGCCGAGTGGCTGACTGCCGGATTTCGTCATCCGTTTGGACTCTTGGGTGATTTGACTATTGTCTCTGATGATGGGTCCGAGCAGGAATGTGAAATGCCAGGCCAATAAAACGCTTGTTTGGCCGATCGTATCTCCATCTTCAGGACTGCTTCCTGGGACTCGGTGCATCTGTTAGCAACTGAAGGTAGTCAGAAAATGCGGTGGTATGAATGGGCCAGTCAACCCGGGGCATGACGTCATGTAGATCTTACAGAATACACCAAACAAGGCCCACTGAAGACGATGTAGTAGGTAGCTATGTGTACGATGTGGATTTGAAAACCAGAACTCGAATCCCTGCCTCAATTCGCGAACTCCTGCCATGATACATGTCTAAATGATGTTAATCCTGCCCAAGAACAAACCCTAATTCCATGCGTGGAAGAATTCGTTGCAATTTTCAACCTGTGGGTTTCTAAACTGCGTTTGCCTAATTCTGATCGACGACACAGTTTACAACAGTCGACGGTGTGTGACGTACAGCCACAGAAAGCCCTCAACTCCATACATCCACCATCGGAATCACCTATGCTTACATGAAGCTTGAGGGAAGAACTGGTCTAATTCGTAGCACCAGCCGCTGCGAGCCTGCAGTGAAGACCGTGCTGAGAGTGTGTCATCCTCTTGTCACTGGGTGGATGCCCCTATGCTACACACGCAACTCGAGTGCGACTCCAGTCTGCACGCACGTGAAACCCCACCCAGCCACCAACTCCCTCCCTCCGCACCAGATGAGTAGTTTTTACTGCCAAGCGATGCACCTGGGCTTGCGTGGGACTGCTCGTGACTGGCATTTTGTTTGTGATCGATGCGTCTAACCCTAATCTAGTGAGAGCATCATTCGCCATGACATAATGCAGAACTGCAGGTTTGCAACCAATTTACGGGTAACGTCGTGCCACGCGTGGAGGTAAATGCTGCGCAAGTCTGCCACCAGTATAATCTCAATCATTTTGTCATGACTGTCGTCCAGTCAGCACTGAATCGTCTGTCATTTTGACAAAGAAGTCATCCATTGAAGTCGCCGAGATTGTCGTTTGCTGCGCTCTTAACGTTGGAGTCTTCAGGAAAGGTCGGCCATCGAGCCGAACTTCGAGCTCCAAACTAGTTAAATGTTTAAGTTTTCTGTAGTATTGAAGGTAGGGCAAACAAATGCAGTCTGCTCTATGGCCTCACAGCAGCACTCCATACTATTTGTTTACGGATACCTCTGACTGGACGACTGTCGTCTGAAATCTCTGCTTATTAGAATTCCTGCAATCGTGTTAGTACTGGACAAACCCTGGTCCCTAAAGATATCTCCTGAATGTTGGCTGCAATATACGCACTATCCTGTCAGAATGCCGTGTTTACAGGAACTTCTGATAGGTTGTGTTTTTTGAGGATAGGATTGGTCTCAGGACTAAGACTGACTGGTCTCCAGTGTAGGAGGTATAGTCGTGTTGGCCAAATGCCATAGTTCACGTACACATGCCCTTTGAATATTTATTTGCGTACTTTACTCAAAGAACTGTCATTCAAGTTATTCTACCTGAGCCATTTTATTTGCTGGTTTTTTCGCATGGACATGCGAAACCCCGCGCATCCGTCTTCGTCCGCACCAGATGAGTACTTTTTACTGCTAAGCGGTGTACCTAGACTGGCGTGAAACTGTTCGTGGTTGACTCTCGGTTTGTGAATACAACGCACTTAACCTTAATGCAATGAGAGCAACATGCGTTTTGACGTAATACAGGACTACAGATTTACAATCAATTCACAGGCAATTTATCGCTGACAACTGATTCACCGTGTACCTGAGTCTGCCCATTTTTTTAGAAAAGCACAAAATCCTGAAAACGTCAAAAATGGCTGTAATTTAGTAAGTTTTGTTTTCAGACGTAAAAGGTGTCTGCTTATCCATCATGACGGAGTAAATATCAATGTACAAATAACATAACGACTAAACAGAGTGTTTTCTGTGAAGTCCGCATTTAAGTATCGTGTAAGAGTTAGTGTAATCTCATGTATGACGGTTTGTCAACAGCCTTCAGTCGGAGTATAGATTCGAAAACAGTTTGCGGAGATTTCGCGGTATTTTTGACTTACTTGGACTGATTGAGATGCCGTTCAACAGGAGAAACTAGATTTTCCTTGGCTTCGCCGATGAAGGCGTCTTAAGAACAAAAATTTACATAACGTCACATGCTGACAGGCCAATCGGTGATCGGCGTAATCTTAAACATATTACAGTACGTGACCTATCTCATGAAATCTGAAAATGGAAACTGATGAGAGAATTCCAGGACGCCTTTAACGTTGAGCATTTTGTTCGTTCTTCCACATCCTTCAACAAAATGTCCTTTTATTGTGCAGAACTTGTGCTTACGTAATTATATCAAGTAAAATATATGTAAATGTTAGCGAAAATGGACGTTGGATGATATTCGTGTAATTTCCTATACTAATACGTGTCTTAGACTCCGGTTACGCATCTGAGCGGCTTTTTCTTTGAAAGGATATTAATTTGCCCATGAGAGTTTTGATAAACAGGTTTGGCCGGACTATACACTATTTTAAATTCGATGATAGCCATGTTGATCCACCTGCTATCACAAAGGTTATTTTAAGAAAACCAGAGGTTTTATCAATTTCATCAACGGAGTGCAGTAATAAAGCACTTCTTAAAGAGGTAACTTACTACCGAAAGTTTTTTCATTGATCGAAGGCGTATTCGTTGCTGACTTTCGTTGTGGACAGAAATATTTCTCGAAAATGAAGTTGTATGTTTGAATGAGTCTTCAAATGTGACCCAAACGACCATCTTCGTGAAAAGGAGCGCCCGAACACTCACTAATTCGGTAAATGCCTTCAAGAATAATCTTATTTTTAAGTTCTCAACAGACAGGCAATTCAGAATCTGTCTTTATGGACGATCGGATGAAAACACCGAAGATCACTAAGTATTCAGCAACATTTCGAGGACGATTTGAAACTCAACGTTATCCAAAACGAAAGAGAAGTGTAAATTAATTTAACGGAAGAATATTTATCTCCATAAACTCAAAATGGCACGTTTACGATCACGCCTGTCAGTTCTATTTAAATTTATTAGGCACCGACCGGTCTCGTGGCATGCCACCTTATGAAAACTTTTGTTCCTAGGACGTCCCCATCGGTGAAATCAAGCAAAATCCAGCTTCTCTTGTTGAACCCCATCTCATTTACTTTAAACAAATACACAATCACAATTTGAAAACCCTCTCTACTAAGTTACCTCTTTAGGAAGTGCTTTCTTACTGCACTCCGTTGACGGATCTCTGTGTACTTTGCACTTCTGCACGGTGAGGCCAAGAAAAAAATATGACAATTTTGGCCGTTTCTTTCACCTTTCTAAACCATCCTGATATTTTTCTACCGTAAACGCAAGACTATATCTTTATATATTGCGGCCATTTTCATTGTTTTTGCTCGAGTTTAGACTCCGTTCTTCGAGGAATGTTTCTTATCTTCAAGACTGGAAATGGCCATTTGGTAGTGGTCATTTCTGTGACATAACGTTAAATCCTCTAGACGGCAAAACAATTTCAGCCCATTTAAACGAAGGAATCCCTGTCTGCGTTATTACTGCACTTCAGGGCACCAAGTCGCACTGACCTGTTAATTTGACCTTTTAAAAATGGTTAAAATATTTGGTTCTTTTAAAATGACCTTTGTGTGAGCAAATTGATTACCACGGTTAGGATCGGACATAAAACAAATTCTCAAGTCCGCAAATCTCTCCTTATTAAAACTCCCGAGAGAAAATTAGTCACCTTTTTATGAGAAACATGCTCAAATGCACAGCCTAAATCTAGGAGAGATATTAGCATATTAAATGGCACGAATATATTGCAACGCTCATTTTTTCTAAAAAAAAATAGTTAATATTTTGCTGGATATAATTGCACAAACACAATTTCTGCACAAGAAAAGGACATTTCCTTGAAAAGGCCGAATAAGAAAGCAAAATGCGTAACGTTTAAGACGTCCAAAAAGTGTCACATCAGTTTCCGTGATCAGGTATCACGAGATAGGTCACGTACTGTAGGCAAATGTCGTAGTTGACGTTACGTATTCTCTTTGGGTATTAATTTGCGAACGTTACCAAAGGACCGTCTTTAAAATTATTCTACGTGAAAGCCCACCCGGCCACCATGCGGTTTTCACCAGCTCTCTTTATCAGCACAGAACGAACCAAAACCCAGTGGCAACAATTGAATTTGTCGCAGACGGTGTCCTCATTAGTAAGTTACACGTCAGTCCATTTGGCTTTGAAAGTGCGCCATCGGCGGTGTCTAGCCCACGTAGCCCTGACCAATAAAAATAACTCGGGGGTTCTCACCTACGCATTACACCACATAACTGTGCCGACTATCGCCCAATCGAATCCGCACTTTGAAATCGGCCAATCAGGACCTGAAGGTCATGAGTGCGTGCGGGCGGGTTCAAAGTGTGCTGGCACTATAAGAGGCAGTGCTAATGGCGCTCGCGATCATTCGTCGCTCCTGTTCCGGTTATCACTCGAGATGGCGCTCGCAGACGTCGAAGTATTCGAAGACGCAGTCCCCCTGGTTCGTAGCTGTCCAGCCCTCAACGAGATTCGCACTTCGGGGGAATTGAAAGACCTCGTCATAGAGGTAGCTGTCTTTTCTGTTACCGTTCTTTACACGGAAATTTGTTCATGCTTGTTAGGTGAAGGACGGCGCTATTCTCAATGCCCATCGGATCATACTAGCGGCTCGAATTCCATCATTGCGAGCTGCTCTCAGTGGCGCCCTTGGGAAGGATAATTCGGTGCTAAAATGGCCGACGGTGCCTCTGAAGTAAAGTCATCCTCCTTTCTCTGATTTTGCTTTTGCACTTTCTAGCCTCGCAAATTCACTCCTCCAGTATGTGTACACCGGGCAGTTGGAGGTGACCCAAACGAATGCGATGGCCATAGTGATGTTTGCGAAAATGATGAAACTTTCTGATCTGGAGAATTGGGGAGTTCAATTCATGTCTAATAGGTAAGCAAGTGCCGGTTCTTTCTGTTTAACTGTCCGCTGTAAAGAGTGAATTTAGAAAATCTGGCAACCACATGGGACTTTGCCAGATCTTCGAATATGGGATCACTGATGGAGACTTGCATCAATCTGATGCAAGCGCAGTTTACGAATTTCGTCTCTACTGAGCTCTTTATTCGTCTACCAGCTGACACCGTGCTGACTTTGTTGCAAAACGACGATCTGTCAGTGGACTCCGAAGAGGCAGTTTTTGGGGCGATTTCAAGCTGGGTGGCTGCCGGCGATAAAGAGTGCGATAATGAGAGACTGAGATTGCACGCCCCGGAAATGCTAAAGGAGGTTCGTTGGTGTCAGACGACTCTCCAATTCCGCAGTCGCCTACTCAATAGTCATCCAATGTTTCGGGAAGGCTTTAACTGTGTGTAAGTATATGCTCTTCCAGTTCGTCATTTATTTTCTAATGAAAGTCGCTTTATGGCTCAGGTGGAGCAGTGGATGACCTACGCAGACAAAAACAAGCCTCCATGTCCCTTCAACCGACGTCGGAGACCGCCTCAGATGATCTTCGTATTTGGAAAGGACAAAGATCAGGACAGGTGGTCTGTCCTGCGTTTCGATCCGCAGCTGCAAAAGGAAGAGAGGATTGCCGACATGCAGAAGCGTGAAGACGCCACCTACAGTCTCGTGGGCGGTGAGTTGCCTGACAGTTACGCATCTCCTCTTCTGCGCACCTGCCTTGTTTTCCTCTTTTGTCTAATTTCGCCAGTTGGTGTCTCCTTTTTGCCGGAATTATAACAAACACACAGACTCCTGCCAGTACAGCTGCCATCGCCACACAATGCATAGGATTGTAGTAGTAGTAGCAGTAATTGAGGGGTTTTGAGGTCTCGGAGTTTTCCATTCGTCTGGCCTGCCCCCGACGCGTTTGCTGTTTTCCCTCTTCAATTTACCCAACCGTGTCTCCACCTGCGTGGTCTGTGTCCGTCACTGGCGGTCACTCAACTGGGAGATTTGTCCGACGATGATATTCCCCCTCTTTCTGTCAACTGCACGCTTTTTTTATTTTATCTTTTCACTTTAACTTTCTTCCGCTCAATTTTATGAAACTTTTTTCTATCCCACCTCACCCCCACGGAAGAGAGCATTTTCGTGGTTGGAGGAAACACTGCGCAAGGGAGCTACTCCACGAGTGTCGAGGAGTTTCTGGTGGCAGAACGGCGCTGGTGCAAACGGGCGTCCCTCGACGTTGGACGTCGCGTGCACGCAGCTGCAGTTCTGACGGAAGCCGGAGGGGAGGCGCTTATCGGCGTTTTCGGTGGATTGGGTAACGATGGATGCCTTTCCTCTTGTGAAGTCTATGAAGTCAGTCGCGACAGGTGAGAGCACACTCGTCCTGGCGCCTCCTTCTTTTTTCTTGCAAAATCTTCCTGTTTTGCCTCCTCAGTCGTCGCCTCCTCCTCCTCACACACAGGTGGTTCAAACTGCCCGATCTGCGAGAGAAGAGGAGCTCCACGGCGGCTGCCTGCCTGCCCGGCGACAGTCGAATCTTCGTTTTTGGCGGCTGGAATGGCTCCTCCTCCGGGCTGGCTTCTGTGGAGTTCTGCCACCTGCGAGCAGACTGGCGAGAGAGGGCGACCTCGTCGGACTTTTGGCAGCCAGCCGCACCCATGAGAACTGCACGAGGCGGGCTGGCAGCGACACACTTTCGGGGGAAAATCATTGTCGCCGGGGGAAATGGTGGTGGAAAGAGATTAAACGTGGTGGAGATGTTCACACCACCAGATGCCAGGTGTCCCCAGGGCCAGTGGACAGAACTGGCCGGCATGAAGGAACCCCGCAATTATTTCGCTCTTCTCACCTCCACCGACGACGCCATCTTTGCTCTCGGTAATGACGCCTCTTCCTTCTTTGTTTTACACTGACTGCATTCCTTCACTCTCCTCTCTCTTTCATGCCATTCCATGTCCTTTTCTGCTTAATCCCTTTTTATGAGGAAGATTAAGACATCCCTAGTGATGGCAACCATGTGTAAATGTGACTTTGCCTGGCGTTTCGTAAACACAACGAGGTTAGCGCCGATGGTAGTCCGTTTGTAGTGCAAATAGTCTGCTTATTAAAGTAGATTTTTACGAGAATTATGCAGCCGAATGGTTAAAGCGTCTTCAGTAGATACTGCGTTCAAAGCTTACTTTGTCTACTTTGCGTTTTATTAAAATAATTTTTTGTCTAGCGGTATTGTACAAATCGTATGCTAATTTTGTCTATTTTGATATTTATGAAAGTTGAATTTTACTGGAATTATTCACAATTTGCAGGCTCAGGAAACACGGTGGAGACTTTCACAGCACCAGGCGGGCCAGCTGATGTCAACAACGACTTGACAGCTTGGAGCTGGTCGTCGAAGAAACCACTGGAGACGCTCGCAAAGATCGCTGGAGCTGCAAGCATTCGCATGTAAACTTCTGCGTTTCTTGATGTTCCTTCTTTGACCCACATGTTAAGAAATAAACGACTTGCAATGTAAGCTGTTTTGTCGTTTTTTTGAAAACGTCGAATGGGTGTGGGGTGCCCAACACCTAAGGCAACCGATTAATGGCGTGTTTATCTCTGAAGGGAACGAAATGTATGAACCAGTTAATTTTTTACGAGGGAGATGCTCGTTTTCCGGATTAATGCTTGATTATGGAGAGAAATCATTGTCGCCAGCGGGTATGATACTGGAGACGAATTAGATTTAGTGGTGGAGATGTTCTCACTGCCAGGTGTCCTTAGCGGGTTTAATAAACATGGCCTCCAATTTTTTTTGTTAGAAAAAACACCAAAAGGGTGTAAATTGTCCAACTCTTGGGGTGAAAAATAATCTCTAGCATATCTCTGCGAGGAATGAGAGATGTGGTCGACGTAAGTTTGGCAAAGAGATGCCCATTTGCTGACGGAGTGAGCAACACTAGTAAGATCGCAGATCGGGGAGCTTGTGTGTTAATATGAATGGCACACGTACTACTTACTGAGGCGACAGGAGCAGTTAGAGAGTGGACGGCGGACCTGGCACTATGAATTAGGACATATGTCACCAAGTCTGAATAGTGTCCCACTCCAAAAGCAAATTTGCCCACCCCCGCGAAATGCGATAGACTGCTGTGTGAGTTGCTATCGGCCTTCTCTATTAAGGGAAACGTTACACTCAGTATTCGGTCGACGGAAGATGTCGGATGCATGTACGCTGTCCGTCTCCGTAGCATAAATTGATCCTTTTCTTCATCTAAAAAGATTAAAAGGTTGGACTGTCTCGGGATTTATGCTTAGCAAAGATTTCACCAAGCACGACGAGCTCACATGAATGATGTCAAGGGTATTTAAGAAAACGCATGTTCAAATATAACCCAGGTTAGTGATTTGGATGTAACCAGAGATACGATTAACTGAATCGGCACTATCTACGTGGGAAGGCCCTGATTCTTCTTGCGTACCGGGTGGACAGTCAGTCATCAGGGGCGCATCTCGAGTTGATGGCCCCTGGACAGTGAGGCGGCCTGCGAGCCTGCCGAGAGAAAATCGATCGTGCTCGATGGATGACGCAGCTGGCAGATTTCACTAGATGGCCGAAAGCGGATTCGACAATCTACAGGACTGTTTCACCGAACGTAGGTGCAAGATGTCCAGTCAATTGCAAATTCACTGAAAGATCACATGCAATGCGAATCCTTAAGCTACGTAATGGTTTCATTTTTTCAACTGTCCGTGTTGATGTATTCGCATAAATTAGATATGCATAATCCACGACAGTAAACCAAGTGGGATTTTAGAATTAATTCGACGCGCTCCGTAAGGAGCGGATTTATCTACGTTAAAATTCGTCGTAGCGGAATGTACATTAAGTAAACAAACTGTTTTTATTAACATCCTACACTGTTTTAATATAGACACAGTCTGAGCGTCTGTCTGGCATTAATTGGAAAGGGGCAATCAGCAAATTTCAACATTATGTCGACTTCAGCCTGCCAGGAAAACCTCATTTCTAACAAAAATTCCCGTTTCCAAAGTCATAGAATCGCCAAAGTCAGTTTTTAGGACAAAGGATGATGTAAGTAATTAAAAAACGGCTAGATCGAGAACAGTCACAATTTAAACATATTTACTCGGGAAATCGTCAAACGATTTACGAAAAGCTGAAAAGAATGCGGACGTTATGATTATATTCATCCGCATGATAGCATAGGAATTGCAGCTTATAAAAATGTCACCCTCTGTACGTCCACAACATCGGTCTGTTGCTGTCCTTAGCCGAAAAGGGATCGGGAAGCTCGAGTGAACTTTATTTTCGTCCAAGCTATCGAGTGATTCTCATCACATCAAAATGACACCGTTAAGAATGCTCTACTTCTGAAAAATAAGTGGTTTCATTCTCCGAAGTTGCTACTAAGCCTAACTGGTGCTATTCGAACCCACAACGGCAAAGAGAGGCTTTAGTACGGCCAACGCTCTAGCCACCTAAGATACGAGGTCCCACCGGACGACGCGAATTTAATCATATCTTAATCAAGTTTACTCGTGTGATCTACTGCAAAGTCTGGTATCCACCAAATCTGATAAAGTAGGCTGACATTCTAAGCAGGATTTTCTAATTTATACATTTAGAATCCACCAGATGGCTAAGGGTTTCACGAAATTCATAGCTATTATGGCAGATACGATTAATGTAGCGTCGTCCGGTGGAGCCTTTTAGCTCTGTTGGCTAGAGCGTTGGCGGTACTAAGGCTACCTAAAGCTGAAGTGGGTTCATACACCATAGAGGCGCCGAGTATTTCATATGCGTATCAAAATGACTCGTTTGTGTACTTGCGTTTAATACGGCAATATCGACAACAGTCGGTCAAGCTGCAATAGGCTCGTATTGCCAGTCAAAATAAGGAGATATGGATTACTTGACATAGTAAAACGCTTGCTGTCGTGGGTTTCAGTCACACCGTGGCACCGAGGTTATACAGTTCGATCGAGGTGGATAACTGAGACTTTAGGAAATATATTCTGTAAACTGAAGGGGATATCTGTTGTGGCGGATAGGCAATTCAAGACTACACAGTGGTAATACCGTCAGGTGTGGCACAACACTGACGAGTTAGGTAAATACCCCGCAAGCTGGTTGCAAACCTGCAGCTCTGTATTACGTATTACAAATGCTGCACTCATTGCATTAGGGTTCCTGTCATCAATATTCACAAACCAAGTGACAGATGCGAGCAGATCACGCCACTCTAGGTGCAACGATTTGTACTTAAATCTGCTGATCCAATGCGGAGGGAGGGAGGGAGCTGGCTGGGTGGGGTTTCGTATGTGCAGATAGCAGGCGCGCTCGTGTTGCGTACTATCAGGGTGGGACATCGATTCCCGTAAAAAAAGAGGATGACGCACTCTCTACTCGATCTTCTCTTCAGCCTCACAGCCACTGAACCCCCGGATTACGCTAGTCCTCCACCTTAGCAAAATGTAGCCACAGGTGATTCAGATGGTTGTGTGGAATCGCTGTCTTTCAACTGCTGTTTGTTACATTAAGTCTGCTGCAGAGCGTGCTGTCGATCAGAGTTAGGTAAACACCGGGCAAAACGCACTGCTAGAAAACTGCACAAACTTCTATGAAGTACAGGCCTCTGGTTTAAACTTGTGAAGCATAAAGGCTCCTGCATCCGACGAAATCGCCGACAGACTGGCAGGGTGAGTCCGCTCACTCTGGCAGCCTGGAATGTTCATTCCCTTTTAGACAATCCAAGGAGCAACCGACCGGAACGGAGGAGGGCGCTAGTGGCACGAGAACTGACGCGCTACAAGGTGGACATCGCCGCACTCAGCGATACCCGATTCTCCGAACAAGGCAAACTGGAGGTGGCTAGGGCCGGCTACACCTTCTTCTGGAGTGGCCGACCCAGGGCAGAGCGACGAGACGCGGGTGTCGTCCTCGACATCCGGAACGACATCGTGGGACGACTGCCCAGTCTGCCGCAGGGAATCAACGATCGCCTGATGAGCCTCCGTCTGCCTCTAAGGCAGGCGTGGGGGCAAATTCGCCACCATCATCAACGCCTACGCTCCGCCGATGACCAGCGCCGACGCCGCCGCAATAGACAAATTCTACGAGGACCTGCACGCCCTCTTGGCGACTGTGTCGAAGGCGGACAAGTTGATTGCCTTTGGCGACTTCAACACCCGCGTCGGCACAGACCATACTGCCTAGAGAGGAGTGCTGGGTCCCCACGGTCTCCGCGGCTCCAACGACAATGGTCTGCTGCTGCACCGCACCTGCTCAGAACACTGCCTCATCCTGACGAAGGCCTTTTTCGGTCTGTCGGAGCGAGAGAAGGCCACCTGGAGGCATCCTCGGTCCCGTCGGTGGCACCTGCTGGACTACGTCCTCGTCCGGAGGCGAGATCAGCGGGACGTGCTGGTGACAAAGGCGATCGCGGGTGCTGATGGGTGGAACGACAATCGCCTCGTCATCTCGAAGATGCGTACTCGCCTACAACCTCGCAGGAGACCACAAGGTAAGCGAACCCCAGGTAAGCTGAATACTGCCTTGTTGTCTTTGCCCGCTCACCATCTCCATTTCAGCAATGAGCAAGCTCAACGGCTAGACAAAATTTCCATCACCGATGCAGCCGACGAAGAGGCCACCATTGCAGAGAACATCTCCTTGGAGAACCCCTGGTGTCAACTACGAAACACGGTCCAGGCGACGACGCTCGCCGTCCTCGGTCTCGTTCCCCGTCAACGCCAGGACTGGTTCGACGACAACGACGCCATCAGAAATATGCTAGCTGAGAAGAACCGCCTACACAAAGCCTGCGTAGATCACCCCACTGATGACAACAAAGCTGCTTTCTCCCGCAGACGCCGCCAGCTTCATCAATGACTGCGCGGGATGCAGGATGCCTGGACTGCTCGCAAATCTGATGAGATTCAAGGCTACGGGGACCGCAACGAATGGAAGAACTTCTTCTCTGCGATCAAATCTGTCTACGGTCCGCCGACGAACTGCACTGCTCCTCTCCCCAGCGCCGACGGCAGCACTCTCCTGACTGAGAAGACGCAAATCCTACAGCGATGGGCGAGCATTTCCGAGGCATCCTCAACCGCCCCTCCGTTATCTCCAACGCCGCCATCGAGCGTTTGCCGCAAGTGGAGACCAACGTGGTCCTCGACCTCCCGCCATCTCTCCAGGAAACCATCAGGGCCGTGCAGCAGCTCTCCAGCGGGAAAGCACCCGGATCGGACGCAATCCCTGCTAAGGTCTACAAGCACGAAGGTCCCCTACTAATGGACCACCTGAATGCGATCTTCCAGGAGCTGTGGCGTCAAGGCGAAGTCCCGCAAGACTTCAAAGACGCAACCATCGTGCATCTCTACAATCTAAAAGGGAATCACCAAGTCTGCGACAATTACGCGGCATCTCCTTGCTGAACATTGCCGGGAAGATCTTCGCTCCCATCCTCCTCAATCGTCTGAATTATCATCTGGAACAGGGCCTCCTACCGGAAAGCCAATGCGACCTCCGTTGTCATCGCGTGACCACGGACATGATCTTCGCCGACCGTCAACTTCAGGAGAAGTGCCAGGAGATGCGAACCCACCTGTCCTCTACCTACGTGGAACTGACGAAAGCCTTCGACACGGTGAATCGTGAAGGACTATGAGTGATCATGCAAAACTACGGCTGTCCGTAGCGATCCATTGAGATGGTGCGTCAGCTGCACGACGGTATGATGGCGCGAGTCACGGACAACGGATCTGTCTCAGAGACATTCGTAGTGGCCAACGGTGTGAAGAAGGAATGCGTGCTGGCACCTACCCTCTTCAGTCTTATGTTCTCTGCCATGCTGATGGACGCCTATCGTGATGAGCACCCCGGGGATCCGCATCGCCTACAGGACGGTCGGTCACCTGCTGAATCACCGGCGCATGAACTTCCAATCGCGCGTATCCACAGCCACCGTCCACGAACTCCTCTTCGCCGACGACTGCGCCCTGAACACCACCTCGGAAGAGGAGATGCAACGAAGCATGGATCTGTTCTCCGCCACCTGCGAGAACTTCGGTCTGGTTATCAACACGCAGAAGACGGTGGTGATGCATCAACCGCCACCCCACTCAGCCACAGCCCACAACGCGTCGCCGCAAATCAGCGTCAACGGAACCCAATTGCAAATGGTGGAGGACTTCCCGTACTTGGACAGCACCCTTTTCCGCAACACCATGATAGATGAAGAAGTCGCCAACAGGATCTCGAAAGCCAGTCAAGCCTTCAGTCTCCTCAAAAGCACAGTTTGGAATCGTCATGGCCTCCAACTGAGCACGAGGCTAAAGATGTACAAGGCCGTTATCCTGCCGACGCTTCTGTATGGAGCGGAGACTTGGACGGTGAACACGAAGCAGGCACACCGACTGAACCACTTCCAACTCAGTTGTCTCCGTCGCATCCTGAGGCTGAATTGGCAGGACCGCATCCCCGACACAGATGTGCTGGAACGGACGGGAATCCTCGGCATCTACGTCGTGCGGAGAAAAATGCAGCTGCGCTGGAGCGGCCATCTGGTGCGCATGGACGACGAGCGACTACCCAAACGACTCTTCTACGGAGACGTTGCGACGGGTTCTCGCCGCCAAGATGGTCAAATTCATTGATACATCGACACTCTGAAGTCCACCCTGAAGCGCCTGCAAATCAACCCGACCAACTGGGAAAAGCTCACCCTCTACCGACCGACCTGGAGGAGGACAGTGAAGACAGGCGCTGCGATCAACGAATCCATCCGCATCGCTGTCGCCAAAGCGAAACGCTAAGCCCGCAAATCACAAATTCGCCCATTACGCAACTGCGACGCACAACCGCTACTAACGTGTGCTCGATGTCAGCGGACAGTCCGGGCTCGAATCGGACTTGTTCGACATCTTCGGATCAACTGCGTCTCTCAAACTGCACAAAACTTCATCCCCCGCCCGCTTCTTCTTCCTTCTCTCCGCCGTCAGATTGCTCTGAGAATTCTTCTGCACCACCACTTCCATCCTCCTCCCCCTCCACCAACTACTCCTCCTCGTTCTCGTTGTCATCCCCCTCCTCCTCCTTCTCCTCTT